AGACTCAACCTCCCTCGGCTCCCGAGCTTCCCACCTCCCCCTGGAAGCCCTCCTCTTGGGGAGTTAAGTCTTCAGACCCCACTCCACACACAGGACGCTTGCCCCGTCTTTATCAGCAGAGCCTGGCATGTCTACAGGCCCAGGCTGGCTCGGACCCTGCAGGGCAGAGTGGACAAGCCCAGCCTGTGGCCCGGCCTCCCCGGGCCCCGGCCTCCCCGGGCCCCGGGCCCACAACTGGCTCTGACACTCACCTCTCACCTGCTTCTCTCTGCTTCCCTTACAGAAAGCACTCCGATCCGAGGTAAGAGGCTCGCCCCTCGCTCACCCACCCACGCACGCTCGCGCTCGGCCCGCCCAGCCCCCCAGGCTCCCCAGGGGCCGGCCCAGGGCCCTGCCTCCCGCCACTGTCCCCACACCACCCCGTCTGTCAGTCTCTGTGTCTGTCTGTCTGTCTGTGACCTGGGGCCGAGTGATGCCGTGGGGCGAGGGCTCTGTCCCCTCCAGGAAGGGCACCGTGTGGGGAGCCAGGGCGTCGGCCCCCAAGCAGAGCCCTCGTGTGCTCGGGGTACCTCAGGTGTTCCAAGGGCGCATCTGACTGCCCTGCACCCCTGGGGTACCCCAGAGTAGAGACCGCAGCAAAGCCTGGTAGCAGCCCGGGAGAGCACCCGGTCCTCGCTTTGCCACCAAGGCTGTGTGGCCTTGCTCGGGCGGCCTGCCCTCTCTGGGCCTCCGCCGCCTGCTCCCTTCCCTAGCGCAGTGAGGTCGGGAAGACCAGGGAGGGCCCTGTGGGGCAGGACGCCAGTCCACCGCCCCTGGAGAGACCCCAGTCTCTCCGGGTTGACTCTGGGACAGCTCGGCATGAAACTGGAGTTTAGGCTGGATTTTCAGACTCTTGGTGCCAGGGGCTCTGACCAAAGCTTTTCATTGCAACGCACTTGGGAGTGTTGGCTCATGTCCACCTGCTCGTTGGCAGGAGGCCGTGGGGTCCGGCCCGTCACCCAGACACGCTCACGCGGGTTCCGTTTGTCTGTTCGGACGGGGTCTCACCGTGTTGCCCTCCACCGCCTCTGGCTGGGACTTCAGGAGTGGCCCCGCCTGGCTTTCCACGGGCCAGGAGTCGCACCTGGGCCTCCCGGCTGACCTCGGCGTGCAGGGGGCGTGACACCCGGGTCCCCACGGGGTGGCCATCACCCCGGCTTATTTACCTATGAAAATGAGGGCTCCCTTCAGTTCCGTGGTTTCGAACTGACCGAGGGGAACGGGTGCCTCGTTTTGTTCCTTCGCCGGCTTTCGCGAAGGTCGTCGAGGCCTGTCTCTTCAAACATGCCCGCACTCACTTCTCAAAGCCAGGGCTCGCTCCGGCCTCGTGGCTTCGGACCCCCTTTGGGAAGTCTGGGCCTCGTTTTCATTTACTCGAGGACTCCGCCGTGTGGGATCGAAGCCTGTGATGTCCAGCCTCCTTGGGGAGGTCCCTTGCTTTTTTTTCTTTAATGTTCGTGGGAAGTGAGTCCTTCAGTGTGGGCCCGTGATTCTAAACGTGCCTGGGAAAACGGGCCTCTCGTTGGTATGTTCAGTCACCCGCGACTAACATGACCTGACCCTGGCATACTTGGGGTATTTCAGCAGCTACCTCGTGGGTGGAGGGCCTGAGACCCGAACGCCGTGGAACACTCTATCCAGCCCTCCTGCACGCACGCGGGCCCTAGCTTTGGGTCTGAGCCCGTAACTTCAAACACACTTGGAGGAGTTCGTTCAGGTGGCGTGGCCAAGCTGCTGTATTCCCACGGGACCAGTGGTAGTTCGAGTCCTGGATCGGGTGCCTTGAAAAATCACAACAAATAATGAACAAAAACAAACAAGTAAATGTTTACAAAGATTCATTCAGTACCCGTGAGCACCAGACTCTTGAATCCAGGCCCGTGAGTTTAAACACAGGGCGAATTCTTACTTACCTCCTTCGACGGGAGTCAGATCACGCCCGGGGAAGGTCAGACGTCTGGGGAGGTTGGGGTTCCTCTTCAGTTCCCGTCAGGCACACGTAGGGCCTTGACCCGGCTGATTTCAGACATCGCTGATGCGTATCAAATCTTAGCACCTTCTCCTCGGAGCGCGAGCAGTCCTGGCGCTGCAGACCCCGGAGAAGGCCTTCCCTGCCTCCGTGCGCCGACTTACGGACCAATACCACGGTCACGGCCGCACGCCCGCCGCTCCCGTAGGTCCCTGGCTCTGTCCACGGACGATTCTGGGTTGTGGCCATCCACGTTGTCTTGCCCCGGGGCCCTGCCTTCTCAAACACACCCCACGGCCCACATGCGCCCGTGGCGGCCCCTCTAGCTTTGCACCTGACAGTCGGGCCACGTGCCCAGCTGGTTCGCGGCGAGTGGAGGAGTGGCCGGGGGACCCGGTGTGGGGTGGGGGGCCCCAGGCCCCCCAGGGCTGCGAGGCTCACTCACCTCTTCCGTCTGCCTCCCCGGCCTGGCCAGACCCGAGGGGCCCCCGCGGACTGGCGCGCTCTCTCCCTGTCCCCGCAGGGGCCCTGCAGATCGAGAGCAGCGAGGAGACGGACCAGGGCAAGTACGAGTGCGTGGCCACCAACAGCGCCGGCGTCCGCTCATCCTCGCCCGCCAACCTCTACGTGCGAGGTAGGGAGCGCCGTCCGCGGCTCCAAGGCAGGGCCCCCCCGGCCCGTCCCCCCCGTGGGTCACAGCCTCCGGGCTCCCCTGTCCCCTGCAGACCCAAGCAGGAAGGCCTCTGCCCGGGCGCGGTGGGATCCCTGGACCAACGTGTCCTCCCCTGGAGATGGGGGCACCCTCACGCCACCCCTGCCTCTGGGCCTCATAAGGGACGCCCTGGGGGTGGGAGCAGGGGGACATGAGGAGACGGATGGTGGGCCGGGTGAGGGGGTCAGTCTTGGGCCTACAGGGCTGGGGGAGCCTGCAGGCCTCTGGCCCGCCCCTCCCGCCCCCCCCCCCCCAGCGCG